AGGCCTGCCTATTGCTCCTGGAGCCCTGGAAAAAATGACACATTTCTCCCTCCAAATTGTTCATACTTGTATTTAGCTTCAAATAAACCCTATGCAGATTTAAGGTCGCACTAATTATATTGTTCTATTTCATACTATCTCTTGACCTAGAAGTCCCTATCTACATGGTAAGAATGCCTTGAAAAATTTGAGCCAAACTCTAACTCAAGATTTCTTAACCTCAGTGCTATTGACATTTGGGGCTGAATAGTTATTTGTTGTGGGGACTGTCCTATGTACTGTGGGATGCTTAACAGCATCCCCGGGCTTTACCCATTGAATGCCAGTAGCACCTCTCAAGTCATGACAATCAAAAATATCCCCAGGCATTGCCAAAAGTGCCCTGGGGACACATGCCCTTGGATGAGGGTCACTGCCTTAAATGCACATAACCCACAAAAATCGGAGAAAAGCGTCTCCTGAAATTGTCTCTTACGTACGAGGAAACCACTGACCACTAGCTGCAACTGAGAGAAACTGCTAAAGATCAGTGCGAAGCCTATGCATATTTTAGATTTCAAGGTATTCTTTTTTCCTTTTTTACTTTTCTTTCTTTCTTTTTTTTTTTTTTTTTGAGTAAGATGCCACTAGTGACTATATGAATGACATTGAGTTTGATTTTTACCCAGAAATCTGTAATATTTGAATTTCGCATCAGGAGACCGACTTTACTCAACATTTTTGAGGGCTGACATTCTCAGTACAAACAAACCATTGTGCTGAATTAAACTTTGTAACCAATGCTGTTAAACTTTGTAACCAAAGGCTTTTCCAGGTACTTCAGTAGTATTACCACAGACATTAGCCGCTGACTCAACACGAGCCTAAAAATTGCACACACAGACACACACAGACACACACACACACACACACAGAGTTGCAGTTATAAAGCAACCCTTCATTGTTTTGTTGTGCATCAATCCTCCTTCCACCTGTGATGGATGGAGCATATATAGCCAGGGGGAGAGTCTGAAGTAATGTTGATTTTTATTGTGCAAATGCAGGTGAATTAGCTAAAGGTCAGCTCTAAGAATAAACTGACAAGATGGAAGAGGTTGCTGGAGAAAGGAGACTTACTCAATCCTCCACTTGGCATATAAGTGCTTTTAGGAGGCTGATAAACAAGAAAATCGTCACCCTTCTGTCCCAGGACAAACCCCTTGATAGTTGCTGGGCCAGGGCACATTTTCCTTTAGCTTTTTCAAAGTATGTAAAGCAAGGATGACAGTTAAGGAATTAAAATTTCTTTACCCGATAAACATAATTTGTTCACAAATAAGAGGAACATTTTTTAAAGATTAGGAAGCTGGGGCAGTAAGGAAATTCCGCTTGGAAAGTAGAGGAGGGAAGGCCAGCAGAATCAAATTTAACATTTTTAAAAATCTTAGCCAAACAGTCTTAATTAGCAGCTCAAGTTCATTAGTTTCATGAACCATTCTCTATCCTGGCAGCAGTCTAACTTAAATATTCACTGATAATCATGACAAGCATGAATTTAAGCCATCAGTTCTCTATTTCTTGCAGCATGTGGGGAGTTGATACCTCTCCAATTATTCTGCTTTATGGATCAACTGGATCAATGAAACCTTCCAAAATTTTTCTATCTGAGTTTGCATCATGCAGTCATCTCTCATGGTCAGAGTAACTAGAAAAATACAGAACTTTGTGTTATTACACATGGAATGATCACTATTTTGAACTCACTCCTCATGTCTTTTATTTGTATTTATTCTCCCTCATGGGTTTTGATTGAAGTTTTTAGTTAATGCTGGGGTTCAGGAACTCCAGCTCTCCGAGAGCTTCATAGTCCTGATGTCAAATTGGAGGAACTTAGCAGTTCAATGACTCAGGATTTTATTGGTGAAGTACAGCTAAATTCACTGATCATTCCATATTCATTTTGATGATGTTTGTATGTGCAGCTAATGAACCCACCTTTGGGGTCTTACACATCATTAAATTAGAGATCACTCTTAAGTCCCTCTAAATCCAACTGCATAAGGGTCTGGAGACAAACAGCTGTTCTTGAGCAAGGTCATTATTTTTATTCCCTGTTGGGCATCATTAGGATATAACTCACTCAGAGATGTGCTCCCATCTACCCAGGGATAAAACTATATTAATGCAGGCTTTAGGTTTGGTAAAAAGTAAATAAAAGGCACAAGCACATGCAAAATGGAGAAGAGGTTATGGTCGACAGACAGATGAAAGGGAAAAGGAAATCTACCCCCTAGTCCTGGGATGGTCTTCTTTGGGACTTTCCTCTTAAGGAATAATGCATGCTTTGACTTATCTGTAGTAGAAAAAAATGAGAGGAAGTGCCACTAGGAAGTAAGAGAAATGTTGCATTATCCCTAAACATGAGAGTTTCTCAAAGTAAGGTCTACAGACCATCCCATCCAAATCATTAAAGATGCTAGCCCCAAATAAAGATTACTTAGCCCAAATTTAAGTTTCTGAATCTGACATTCGGAGGTAAGGGTGAAGGAATCTGCACTTTTAAAAGTGCTACAAATGATTCTTGTGCATGCGGAGTATTAAAAAACACTGCTAAAAAGTTTGCAATGGAGGTCACTGGAAAAAGAATCTCCATTCCACTGTATATGGCAAAATGAGAAAAACCTGCCCTTAAAACAAATAAGCTCTGGTTGCATCACAATGCTGTGATTATTAAAGTTTAAGACTCTTCTTTTAGCGGTGTGGAGAGCAATAACTATTTCATCTAAAACCAGAATGATGAAAGCAATATAAATCAAACTCATTCCAGCAGGTTTCATTTGGTCTAATTTCTCTGCAGATATTAATCATTGTTCAGTCCTATACAAATGACATCTAACTCCATTTTAACTCAGAACACAGAACAGTTATTCTGATTCTTTCTCTAGTGTGTTATTTTGACAATATAAAAGAAAATAAATAAATTGAAACAGCGAGCCATCAAGATTGCAAGATACTAACAATATCAAGACATTAAAGAGAAATGATCCATGCTAAACCTATAATCTCGCATACAAATTGGCAAAAATATTTATCTGTCTCAGAGTCACTGGGGGCGGGGTGGGGGTGGGTAACTGCCTTCATTTTTTCCTTTGAAAACTGCTATGTCAGGTGAAGGTGACAAAAAATTCCTCCTAAAAGTTCACAGAAAGTGTCTCATTAATTCTAGTAAAGATCACCTAGGAGACCAAGGTTAATCAAATTCCACGACATGATATCTTCCAGGACATGGCAGAAATACCAGCGCTCAAACGCTCTGGGCTAATCCACTATGGTAACTACAGAGTTGGAAGGTTGAAACTGAAGCAAAGGAAAAAGTATAAGAATCAAACTTTGCCTCCCATTATGTGAGATGGCATCAAGTGATTTTGCAAAACACCATATTTGCCTTTAATTTCTCACTGTAGAATGTTTTGCTTGGCACAGACAAAGGATAATCAGAGAGGAATCTAAAACCAAGAAAAGCAAAAGCAATCCAGAAGTGCAAGCAGTGGCAACTAAGAGGGCCCAGAATGAACAACATCTGCGCCTACAGATAAAATGCCTCTGAATCAAACAAGGCCAACTGAACAGTGAAAAACTCCACGTTGACTCTCCTTTCATAAGTGTATCTGCCCCAAATGAATCCATCAGGGATAGACAGAACTATGGAGGAATAAATAGCAAAGGGAACATTTATGATTTGCGCATTGTTCCCCTTTTATTTTAACTCACCATGCATGCATTTCCAGTAAGATAACTGTGCCTACGAGTACAAAAGATAACATCTCTGCATATCTTGGAAACTTCTTCACTTTCTTGTTTTATGGCCACATCTCAGTGTAATTTTTTCTTAGTGGGGGAGGAATAGCACCCTACCACAATGATCTAGCAGTTTTATTTTCCTGTCTTCTCCTTTTCCTGATAAATACAGATCACTCCCTTTTTGATACTGGGTAGGAGGACTATATAAATATGTTTCTTACTTCAGGAGAGCCACATACCTGTAGGGAATGACCTTCCTAAGCTCACTGGATTTTAGCACTGCAGGATTTCCCAGGAGGCAACCTAAGTTGGGACTCCACACGTATGATTCCTCATTCATTTGACCCATAGGATGCTATTCGTTTTTTTCACATCAGCAACTTAGGGCCCTTGTCATAACCAATATTTAAGAAGCGAGCCACATATATTGTTCTGTCCAGAATCGAACTAAAAGTTCTTAAAATGATTTTAAGTTTAGGAAAACAAGTCTGAATCAAACTGACTACCAGGGCCACCAGAGCATTTAATCTTATAACTCACTTACCCAGAACTCATTTCCAATGTCACAGGCCTCAAGATGTCACTTGATAATGCCACTCAAACTAGGACCGAAGATTTCCATGTACTTGGTGCCTCCTTAGAGTTCTTTACTGACCAGGACTATATTTATCTCTATACCAATAGCCAAGCTATCACACACCATGTTATCATCTTAGCTATTTGGACTGTTTGGGGTGGGTATCAGTCTAGCGTTAGCCCAGGTGAAAAAAACCTTGTTGTTAAACAGATGTCCTACCCCTAGTTTTGTCACTGGGGCTATAAAAGAGTGCCTAAGCAGAAAAGAAATCCACGACAGGTCAAAGGACAGAGAAATAATGCCATGAACATTTTCTTCGAAGCGGTTAGTTTCCTACTTAAAGTATGTAAAGTAGTGGGTTGACTGCCATCGTACCAGTTCTCTAATTCTTACTAGTGTGTCTCTACCTTGATACCATCAAAGCCAGATCTGAAATTAAAGGAAGTTGGGACTTTGGCCATTTTATTTAAACCCCAGCTCTTTGACAGCACTTCCAGTAGGGTCACGAGAATCATTTGACCAAAGCGAGTTTGGGGATATTTTCACCAAATTCAACTTCTTTTTGACCTATTAGGTTCTGTGACTCTTTGCAAAATCTTCCATTGTTAGGAGAATGGTATTTTGATGTGATGTTAAGAAACATTAAAAATAATGAAGACATATTGGTAGGCTTTACAAAGCTATGTTGTAGTTAAGATCAAATGTCTGCTAATATATTAACACATAAAAGACCACCACTTAAATTTATAAATGATACTTCTCTTGATAACTCCCCAAATAAACTTTCTTTTTCACTTAAGTAAACCTTTAAACTCCATTCAAATCATCACAAGAAGACATTGGCTGAGTCTGTCACATAGGTGTAAAGGCAAGAATTACAAAAGTTCAGAAAGATATCCATATACTAATGGGCACTAATAGCAGGAATCAAAACAGAATCTCTTGCATAATAAATGTGCATCAATGAAAAATTTCAAAAAGCAATTGGTCATTATTTTTCCCTCCTACAGACATAATCCAGTTGCCTTTATTACCTGTGATACATATACGAACACACACACGATAAAAATTAGGAGTGCTTGGCACACAATTAATGATTGACAAATTATTTTTCAGTTCCCACTAAAATGCATAAGGAATGCTAAAAATAAAACCTGGTCTCTTAATCTTCATTTACCACAAGTTCTAGAAAAGAACTATTGGTATGTTAATAGAATACAGAGTCACGTGGCTGGATGGCTATTAAGTTTATTTTTGGCTGTGTCTATACAGGTCGAAGATATAATCGAGAAAGAGAATTTAAAAAGCCAAAACCTGAATTTTGGAGCTTCAGTTATCTAGTTGGGTTGTTCACAGACGTGAGAGAAATGACAGCTAATCCTCGTATGGACACAGTCAAATCCCAGAATCCCAAAGGCAAACAGACTTGATTCAGACTTGTATGTAGTTGGCTACAAGAAAGTAGCAGTGTAGCACTGTAGGTTTAAAAAGTTATGAGAAATTATTAGGTGTGTAGAATACAATTCCTTCTTAAAGAAAAGGCTGGACCCTGATTCAAGTGTGAACTGTGTGGTGTTCTTACTTCCACAACTATGTGAGAATGCAGAGAGAACTGAAGGTGGATTATGTGGAAAGGCCACACCATTAAAACATGGGCAGTAAGATCTCTGAAAACATTGAAACAAGGACTGCTCAGCTCCGGGTAGAGAAGGCTGAGTGTGGGGCCATTTAGTAGTGATTTTTGTGCATCTGCATGTTCGTTTTATACCAAAACTGATTAGCTCTTCTCACCCTCTCTGAGCGCAGAGAAAGAGCATCAGCAGTGAAATGGAGCCTGAGGGTGTTCATTTCAAAATAAGGAAGACTATTTGTTGGTGATGAGGGTTATTCGATGTTAGAAAGTGTTGCCAAGAGAGGCTGGGAAATCTTCCCAAAAGGGTTTTAAGAAAAGAGCAGAGGCTCATCTGTCTGAAGTGCCCTGGGAGAGAGCCGCTGGGGCCGGGCACACCCCACAGCACTCCAGGCCCTGGGGTCATGTGTGCTGTGTGTATATACAGACTTTGTTGTGCTTGTGTTGCACAAATCCTCACGCGCACGGAATCAATATAAAGTGGCACACAATATATTTGAGTGAAAAGTCATATAAACCTGCCAGTTTCCCCTTACCCCATAAACAAAGAGAAAAGGAAAATTAAAAAATCAAACATATGCCGTTAGGCCACATCTCTTTCTACCATATTCTCCTTCAAAGGAGGGAGGTAGAGATGAGAGAAAAACCAGTTTGGGATAAATGAATCCCAAGGCCTCTCAGCTACACTTATGTAGCTGGCTCTCATTATATATAGGATATTCAGTATGTGGGACCGAGATAACAAACAAACAAATAACCCAAAAAAGATTTTCTTATACTTCCACATCTGAGAAGAAATCTACCCTGTGGATTTATGCGTTAAGGTAAATTAGGTAAATAGGCAGTAGTATATCCATGGGCATTGTGTTCTAACAAATGTGTATTGTTAGTTGTTGATTTTCTTTTCAAATATGAATTTCTTTTAGGAGGTTGATTTCAAAATGCTTACACATTGGTTTCCTCTCCCACCCCCCAGCCCTCCCCTATAGGCGATACTTCCGTAAGAGTTCAGATTGCCAAGGATGTTTTCTCTCAGGGAACCGATCCGGAATTTTGATCTTGAGGAAATCCTGGATGCATTTTTCCAGCTCTTCCTCAATGGAGAGCTTTTCCTTAACAGCTTTTTTTTTGCTGCTCATGTTCGACTCCCTGGAGCCTGACGTCAGGGTCCGGAGCAGATCGCTTTTTCGCCGCATCTCAGACTGTTGGATCTGCTGCACAGGGCCCTTCTTGATGGGACGGTCCAGAGTCTGGATGTTGGTCTGGCGTGTCACGGGCCCACAGATGACCGTCTCCTGGGGGGAGCTGGCCTCAGACTGGCTGTCACAGCTGGAGGTGGAGAGGTCGTTGCAAGACGTACCGCTTTCCCCTTCTTTGTCACCCTTGCCATTCTTGCAGCAGCAATCACAATGTGAGGGTGACCATCGGGAAGGCTCACCTGCAAGGAAGCACAGGACCCGAGCAATTAATGCCAGGCAGCTCAGCTGGAGTAGCAGGATAGCACCTGAACACACACACGCAAGCACCCACAACCATATCTTTACAAGAAGTGGCTGCAACGGAAGCCATGTCCATTGAGGGGAGGAGGTTAATAATGGTTTGTGTAAGAAAAAATACAATATAATGCTTAAGCTCACAGCCAGCGGAGTCCGACAGCCCTGGGTCAGGATACTTAGCTGTACTGTTTACTAACCTTGTATGTTGGCAGACCCCTTAAATTCACAGACCTTTAGCTTCCTCATCTCTGAGATGAGGATAATAATTTTCATACGACTTGGAATTGTAAGTCCAGGGAGGACTTAGATGAGTCAAGTGAAGTTCTAAGCACCATATGTGGTACACAGTAAGCACTCAATAAATGCTAGCCAGTTTTGCTGTGGCTAATGTGAAACCCTAATTCAAAGCTCTTCATGACAGTAGTCAGGCACAATAAGAGGTCTGTAAGAGTGGAACAATAGCTATCAGGAAGGGCTCACTCTGTGCCAGCTGCCACATTAAGCTCTGTGCATCCATCAACTCGTCAGATTCTCATGATCATTCTATGGAGTCGGTAGCTCCATACGAGCAAACTAAGACCATGAATGTTTAAGCCAACTTGCCATAGTTTGCACAAACTATAAGTGGCAGAGCTAGGATTTGAATACAGATCTCCCATATACTGTACCCAAGGCAACTACCCATTTTTCTTCAATTTGTCTGTCTGTAAAATTCCTTCTTCTCTTTTCAAACACCGTACAAGGTTTAACTTCACTCTGAAGTTTTATTCACCTCTCCTCAAAAATAGTTGTCAGTTTTTTCTCTCTGAATCATATTTTTTTTTATTTTGTGTCTCTGCTATTGTACATGTCACATTCTAATTCTTTTTTATCTTCTGCATCTCAGCTCCTATATCACGACCTCCCTAAAATGGGCACAGTAAAGTGTCCATTATTGTAATCCCAGCAAGTTGCTCAGAGAACAATGTAGAAATTCAATAAAAGACTGTACCCCTATAATGACTTTTAAGTACCTGGATCCAGCCATATCTGAAGCTACTCCTGTCAGTGGACTTTTTAGTTATATGATCCACTAAGTTACATTTAAACCAGCGTGAGTCCTTCTCTTCCTATTCCCCTGAGTCTTGATTTGCAGCACTGAATTTTGCTATTCGAAGGCAGAGCTATTTTTTTCAGATACACAGTTGTTGGCTCTCTGAACTAGGAAATTCACAATGATGGCACAAAGCAGTTTCCTAAATATCATTCCCTGCTTCCAGCCTTCCAAACAGCCACAGTCTTGGAGTCACGAACCCAATACTACTATTTGCTGATCATACATTATGCACTGGACACTTCATATAGTTCATTGCACTTAAGCCATAAAAAAATAAAGGGAAACAAAATCCCTTTATGATACTAATACTGGGGACCAGGATGATGTAGTATCTATATATTTTATAGGAGACCTAGTTTTTATGTGCACTATAACTTATTATCAGAAATAATGAGCCACTTTATAATAAGATCCCACTTTATTGCCATTTCAAATACGGTCAAAGTAGAGGAAATCTAGAATGGAAACTATAAGGAAAGTTATGCCCTGTCTTCTGGTACAATGCCTGTGCTCTACATATCTAAATGATTTAACTATTTATAGCAACTTATCTTGATATAGTTTTCCAGAGGGAGTAAAACAAAGAAGTCCCTGTAAATCGCAACTCCAAGACTATCTCTAACTCTTTCAAACCACTTTTAAAAATGTGACTGAATAATCGCTGTATTTATATACCCATTAAATGCAATGTAACGATCCAAAAGGAATCACCATGGCACTCATGTCCTAGTTACCCCAAGCTATCACAAATAAATATCTTCCGTGCAACAGACCGCTCAACGTGAACCAGCTGGCAACTGAAAATAACCACAATAGAAGGTGACTGCCGTCGGCCGGCCTGATTTTGAGGAGACTGTTCCTCTCCTTCAGAGGGAGAGTCTGCCTCTGCCTCTGCCTCACCAAACCTGCCTGTTCACATACCCATATGACTCGATGGAAAAATGAACAAGTCAAGAAAAAGTAATTACACCAATCCAGAGTTGATCTAGTTGGATCCTTTTTGAGAAAAGTGCAGATATTGAACTTAACCTTTGGGTGGGGGGGGGGAAAGAAGAGGCAGAACAGAGGAATGAGAGAAAACAGAAGGAGAAGAAAAAATGCTGGGATATGCCTGCCTATTACCTTAAACCAAGGAAACAAAATATTTTGTTCCTAAACCCTGTTGAACCAACAGAAATGCAAGCCTGTGTTTTTCTGCCCAGGAGAAAAGGTAAAGTTACAACAGTCACTGGACTTGGAGGGAAATCTGAAGCTTTTCTAAAAGCCATTTAACAATACAAACCCCATCGGGTGGGGGAGCCATGCGTGCTGACGTGGAAACTGGCACGCAGCCCTCCACTACGTGTCCAAGCCGAGACCCTGACGCGGGTTTGGCTACTTCCAACCTTGGAGGCTGGGACGATCGTGGATTTAAATGTCAGCTCCTCCATCTTCCAGACAAATGGAAACATCACTTTCCACTTGTTCTAGGCGCTAACACTATTAAAGGGAAATCGAACGACTTCATTTTAGTGGAGACTGTCATACTACCACATGCTTCAATATTTTATGAGAACATTTGAATGTTTTACCATTTTGGCAAGATAATTCATAAGGTGGCTTCTGAAGCCTATATATTATATTGAAATCAAGGAGAAAGATGGGATTAAGATAGTCTAGCTGGAGGTGCTGTGTGAAGAGTTATAGTGAAATGTGAAAGACAATCAGATGTGAGAAGATAGCCACCCATGTCTTTCCTGGAAGCACTATCTGTCTGACTACCCCCTTCCTAAGAACTCAACCACAAGCAGGGGTTTTAAACCGGAACAAAGGAGTAACATGTGGGTGCTCTCGCCCTCGCAGTCCCACTGACGTGTGCTCCCCAGTCCTGGAAAGTGTGAAAGAATCCGTGAAAGGCAACCCTAAGGCATCCGAGAATCCTTCCCAATTATAGCAAATAACAATCTCAGAAATACCTTGGTACTTCAAATTGTAACATATTTTTGCTTCCAATTTGCTGAAGTTTCAATACTGCCTATAATAATTCTCTCCATTTGAGGAGAAAATAGGATACAACTGATTAGCCAGATGTGGGGAGAAAACCATTTCATTCCAAGAAAAGTCTGATTTACTGATATTAAAAAAGCAAAAATCTATTGCCTTTTGGGGGCTTATTAAATAATTGCTGGTCAAAGGGCCTACCAGCTCTGCCTTACTTTAAAATATCCACTGCTGAATTTGTGGGTTATTATACCATTTTTAGTATCTGGCACATAATAGAAGTTTGATAAATGTTGGATAAATGAATGAATGAATGAGCCAAACACATCTGCTAAATTGTATCAAGTTGATAACATAGCAGGACAGATTTCAGAGTCAGGATCCACAATTTGTCAGCTTGAATAAATTACTTCACCTCCCTGTGACTTGGTTTCCTCATCTGAAAAATAAAGTTAGTATCTTCTTCATGGAGGTTTTAAGAAAATTAAATGAGATAATGTAAAGGTGTTTCATGGTTTATGCCACCCAATAAGCATTCCATTCATTCATACCTATTCATTCAAGTATAAGCCAGATACTGATCTATATAAAACAAATCGAGAGCCTGTCAGATATGATTATTATGTTTCCACAACCAATTCTTAGGTCTGGTTGGAGCATAATGTCAAGAAGCACACTGATGCTATAACTGGACTCATCAGGAAAATGTATGTTGAAGATTTAGTAATGTCTGACTTTGGTGTGGGTACAGTGTCTGACACAGAGTGTGTGACCAGAGGATAGTTTTGGAAGGAAGGTCCCTTTTTAGTGCAGGGCTTAGACTTTCACAAATGGATGAGTTATCTAGGGTAAAAATTTACTTGAAGGCCCATCAACTAAATTTAAACCCAGAGCCGGGAGGAATTTGGGGGAAGGACAGGAAACTCAATTGCCCTAAGTCCTTATAGCTCGAATCTTCCAATATTTTACAACCTGGAAACTGAGGGCCAATCGAGCAAACTGTTTGACTGGACTTCGTTTCCTTCCGCTGTTGCCCTGTGGGAGTCCTTATTGATAAAGAAAAAAGAGGAAGACTACATAATGTTTCCCCCTAGGAAAGATTCAAATGGAGCTGAAGAAAACACAACTTAGCAAACTCACGAAGTGCTTATGCATTTTTAAAAGAGGCAGCTCTGCAATCTACCCACACTTCAAATTCTCCACCTGCTAATGGTTGTGAGCGCAACGCACGCCATTTACAGCGACAGCTGGGAAAAATGCTTTCCACTGTCTTCTCCATCAGTGATGCAGGAGCCTGCCCGTCTGTGAGCTAGGTGGCCAGATTTAATTTATCGGGACTGCTGAAAGACATTCTTAGTATCCTGGCCGAAAAGTCAATAACGGCCAAATTGATGTTTTTATAATTCTGCTAACCTTGGAAAAGATATTGCATAGTGGAGATTGGGAATAGGCAGGCTGTGCAAGCTTCTGAGAAAAATGCATCTTCAAGCTTGACAATCATCATTTCTTGTTTGTGGTTGACTTTTTTCCCTCGTGTACATTTGGCCTTGGACAAGCCCAGCTGGGGCTCCTCATTAAGAGGGGGCAAGTTTAGGCAAGGACAGACAGTTGAACCATCTATGCATCGGTCAGGACCAGTCAGGAAAACAGATACTCTGCCTGTTATCTTACCAGGGAGAATTTAATGTAAGGAATTGGTTAAACAGATATTGGAGGAGTGAAAATGCAAAAGAAGGTGACACTGAAGAGATGAAAATAGTGACAGCAGGAGGCAGTTACCACCCTAAGGGCTGGGGAGACAAATAAAAGAGGATGAGTTATTAGAACCCAGAAGCTTGCAAGAGTTACCCTGTGGAGGTGGGACCC